CATCAGTGCACTCGTGTTGATGGATAACCCCGTTGATGCAAAGAAAGCCTTCCAAGCACTGGCGTATTCTCGTTTCCGCACTCAACCGTTGTATCTCGAATGGGCTCCTGGTGATGTGCTCGGTCAAACTCGACGGAAAATAAGGTAATACCATTCCACATTCTCTTACCATTACCATTCTCACTGGCAGCGGTGTTCAACACGGATTCCCCTCTTACCACTGAATTCTTTTTTACTTAACTTTTTGTAGATCGCTTCCACAGTGTTGCATGAATTTTGCATGTGAACCTTTTTTCATATTCCTTTTATCCTATTTCTCAACTCCTTCCCCTATGTGGTCCATGTCCTCATGTCGTCAACCTGTCGCACTGACGAGCCTGGGGGTTGGCTAGACAATGATGATTCGTCTGCGATACCGGGCGAAACGGATCATCTGTGCTTTGGAGTGTATTCCTTTCCCAATGTTTGTTTTTCTTTGCTTCTAATTACCAGCCCCTTTTTCGTATGCCCTGTTTTCATCTCATTGAAACCGTATGCAATTGATTTCAATGCACTTTTCCAAAAATGTTTTTCATCGATAATTCCGGATAGTCGAGCATGTAGAACTTGTTCCTATCAAAATTGTGTTGGTAGTGGTTCAGTGATATTAGATCTTTTACGTTCTAATAGGTTGTCTCCTGGGGTGACTTGACGTTGAATGTGGGGTTCATTTTTTTCCGCTCGAGACTAGAAAGATGCGCGCTCATGGATCAGGTGGATCGACACTCCTACCGAGGAATATGCTGTATAGAAGGATCGGAGTCGATCAATTTCCATTAATTCTTTGGCGTGCATTCTTCTATCCTACAGCTGCGCAAGCGTAAGCGTGGCCTTAACGTTGTGGTTTCTCTCCTCTACATGATCGCATGTCGTTTTTCCTTTTGAACGCATGAGGACTTAGGCGAAGTTCAGACTTCGCGACGGTAGCGCTTCAGTCGCGCGTTCTATGATCTATGCGCATGCTTTCGACTGCATCTGCCGTCGCGTAATATGTAACGCTGCCTTAAGCACAACCTGTACACTCAGAGCCATGGCATGTGTTATGTGAATGGGTCCGTAGCTGCATTAGCGTGTCACTTTCTCTGGTCATAAGTGCGCCGGAACGGGGATAGAGGGTATTGATACCCGGCTGTCGTCTCTACACTTCGTCCGCGCTCCTCGTAGCCAGTCACTCCGTAACCATAACCAAACGCGCTACTTATCTGCGCCCTTTCACTTCAGGTTCTTCTCGTCGCTCTGACTATGAGTGTTGACACCACCTGATCCATTAGCTCTGAGTGCATTCTGATACGGTCTCGATGCCCTCCAACCGCTTCCCGTGTACTTTTGAGTGGAGGAGGTTGCAGGCTTCTGCAGCTGCGGACCCTTACACTTCTAGCGTGGAAAGACCTTCCTTGGACTGAAAGTACAGTTGTGTGTTTGGGCCCGCGGCTAACCCTTTTGGCCGTCCTCTTCATTCTTGTCGAATCAGTTTCCTTCCCAACCCTGACCAGGCCTGTGTGTGCGGCTTGTTATCTTCTTGTGGGACACCTTTGATATGAATTCGCCATTCGCAACGTTCTTTCTATTGGTTCTTGCTTTTCGGTTATGAATATGGCCTTAATCTCGCCTTTAGTTCCTTAGTGCGATCGGCGGAAACTATACAGAGGCATTCCTGGCTGCAAGGAGGCTAATGAAGGGGAGCACAGAGAAGGCGAGAGAAAAAAGAAGAAGAACAGCGGACATGACTTGATGAGACCGAGCAGAATAGCGGAGGAAGACGTCTAAGGAAACGACCGGCACCAGACGGCAGAGGATCAGGATTATTGCGGAGGAGAATGTCCTGGAAGAAATACAGTCGACGCTTTCAAAGGATGACAGGGCGATACTTCTCGAGGACGGTCACAGCCTTGCTAATGCATTCGTGAACACGCTGAAGAGGTAGTTGCTTCAATGGTCCAGCGAAGGCGTTAAAAGAGAATGCAATTCCGTCCACGAAGGAAGGGGTTGTATTCTCAGATGAAGAGCAAGGTACAGTAAGAGGAAGTGTTATATTCTGAGCCTGGCTCGACCCAGTTTCCGTGCAAAACACTCTTCTCATCCTCACGAGACAAAGCGATGCAAGAGTTTTTTGATAAGGCTCTTTTATTCTTCTGTGAGTGTATTATACCGCTATCTTCGGTGGCATATTTCGGCTCACACGTTCAAGTTTGCGAGAATCTGCTCTCCGAGCCATGTTTTATTCACGCGATCACCTCGGTTACGTGGGATTCCCTGCCTTGGACAGCATGTTCCGTCCGCCAAAGTTCATTTAAGTTTGGATTGGCTCCGTGGTTTAGGTAACCGCGAATGGCGAGACCGGCTCTGAGATTGCCGCCGTTGTAGCGGTCGTCCCGCGCGCTCCCAGAAAGAAGCCCCTCCCTCCAGCTTGTTGCGCCACACTCATAGATGGATTGGTGTTGGCGGCTCATCATAAATTTTTACTGCGGCGGTACCTCCTTTCTCTGTTCTCGTCCTGCTTATCTGCTTATTCACGTCACGCGGCTTACTGGTCTCCAGCTCTTTCGTTCTTTTCTCCTGGGCTAATCTAAGGCCCGCCATTCGTCGTATATGCACACTTGCCTTTTCCTTTTGCCTATCGTTTGTCACTTATGCAAGGATTCCTCCGATAGTCGAAAATTGGAAGCCTTTCTCTATACGAAGTGGGGCCGTTTTTGTGATAGTAGAATATGTTTTTCCTCGCTGTCGATAACAATATTAATACCTACATTTTTTACAGATAGCCCCATCCTACCACGGTTACAGTCCTCGTACAATGCGACCTTAAAGCTGGTTAAAGTGACAAGATGGCGTTCAAAATGCAGTCCGTAAGACACTGATTATTCAGGCCAAGAAATGACCGCGTATCAAATTACAAATATTCGAACAAGAAAACTCAATCCATCGGATCCAGGCAAAAGCCTCTCAATGGGATTCGGTTTCGTTCAGTTCTACACTCAAGACGAAGCCAAACAAGCCATCAAAGAGATGCAGGTAGCTTTGAAATTCTCATGGAAGCTTTTGGGCTTCAAATAAGAAATGATACAGGGCACATCATTGTAGAATGGCTGCATCAGTCTGATTTCCCTCCAAAGAGATTTGACATGGATATGGCCCCTCCCTCCCTCTACCCCCCCCCCAGATGAGGGGCAGCAATCCGGGGGAAGAGACGAGCAGGTTTAGAAAGTACCATTTTCTCTCTTGCTAGTGTGTGCTGAGTTAATTGTAGGTATTCCCCACTCCGAGGAATATAGTCGCTTTGAAACCGTGGAATAGCTATATGTCTTTCTTCGAAATCGTCAAGCTGCTACACAGCCATGGCTTGTTTCATAAGGGACTTTGCGGAACCAGTAACACTGGTAGGATCCAAGGAATTTTTCCTTTTACAACACTCACCTTCCTTATTCCTTGAATCAGCTCAAAATTTTTCCCTTGCCAAATTTTGCGCCTCTAGAGCACATCCCTTCGTCGATATGGAAAGGAATTTGTCCATTCGTGGGCAATTGATCCCGCTTTTCTACTGCGCCGTGCATTTGACTCCTGTACAAAGCTGATTGAAATGTGTAACTCCATGTAGTGTTTGCCATTGCAAAGTGATGCTCTTCTTCTTAAGTTCCTAGGCAAAGGTCCAAACTTCGCTGTCTTCCGTTTGAGCATTATTCAGTGCTTACTGAACCGCTTCCTAGCTAGCACAAAAATACGACCTCTCGCTTTTGATTCTACAACGTGAGTGATGCCATGTAATGGAGGGCATAGTTTAGCGGTCTCCACGAAACCCGCAGATTGTGGTGGAGCGCCTTAATGCGGCGTCGAGTCACCTCATCTCCTGTTGTAACGTACGCGAGTTGCCGAACCAACTTAATGCTCGCACTGTAACCACTATTGTGATTGGCAGCCGTTCCTATCTTTCTGAATATGATTTATGACTTTTCTTGTAAGGTTGAAGGTTTAGTGTTATCACATGAGTAAAGGTTACACCACGGTTTCGAGTGATTTCAATTGCAGGGTGAACTTTTGGATGGACATAGCCTGGAGTTGAAGATATCACATCGTGAACTGAATGACAAGGACGCACTTAAACGGAAAGCGGTCTCTGCCACTGAACAGGGCACTTGTACGAAGTTGCTTGTTCGAAATATACCATTCCAAGCAAGCGTCAAAGAAATCGAAAGTCTCTTCGCGTCGTTTGGAGAGATAAAGAGCATACGAATACCCAGGAAGGTCAGTTTACCCTCGGTTTCATTTTACCTTTCCTCAAAGACAGCTTCCCACGACATACCTTTGCTCAAAGACAGTTCCCGCGCGCATCTCCCAATAGAAGATAGTATCCAGTGCAAAGAAAAGAACACGAAAAACAACAAAAACACGGACGAAAAACTCTTGACAAAAAATTTCAAAAACTCGGCGTCCGAATTTAGGGTTACGGTAGCGTGCATCTTTTAGTGCGTCTCGAGCTTTTGCACTACGAAAATTGCATCTCGTGATTTTTCGGGGTTTTACTTTCCAAGATGGGTTGCATTTGACTAAATGTGCTCTTAATGAATAATATGCAACAAGGATGAACAGAATTACTTATTGGCAGGTCAGCAAGGACATGCACTTCCGATTAATGCCCGCCGCCCCAACAAAGAACAACTGAGCGGCCCTCCGTCAGAGGGCATCTAGCAAGTGGGCGGTCCAACTGGGCGGGCGTTAGAACTAGAACTTTCAGCGGCTGTAGCTCGCTCCTCGCTCGCTGTGGAGTCGCGAGAGTGGGACAGTCTCTAGCTTGGGGGCTGTACTACTTGCACAAGGAAGGACGACCATGTACTACTTGAGCGCGGGGGCTGTCTTTGAACGTTGTGTTACTCCCGTGGTATGAGTAAAGGTGTAGCGATTGGGTACCCCACTACGTTCTTCTGTGAGGTCGTGGCATTGCTGAGAAACAAGTACTAAAATATTGGCGCAGTCCGCTGGGAGCAGGGCGGACATTTAATGGACTCCTTTTGCAAGCGTGGAACGTAAAAGTTTTTACTCCGAATTCCTGGATTGGCTCTGAAGTGAGTAAAGTAAGTTCTTTGTGCGAAAGGTTACCACTTTACATTGATGTCATTTTCGCAGTAGCTGTTCTTTGAATGTCCCCCTCCTTGTATTCTCTGTTTTACTGTATCAGTTGGACTGCTCTTGCAGAAGTAATGATTGTTGTTCAGCTGGGCAGTCGTGATCAGCACCGTGGTTTTGGATTTGTGGACTTCATATCAATCGGTGAAGCCAAACGAGCTTTCGAAGCGCTGGTTCATTCGACTCATATCTACGGAAGAAGATTAGTGTTAGAGTGGGCGAAGAGTGATGATTCAGTGGAAGAGATACGCGAGAAAACCGCGGAGAAGTTCAGGTATCGTTGGAGTCGAAGATTTTTCCGAAGTTTATGGTTTTGCTTTTGTATTCCATTTTAGCCATTTTTGGGGAAAGGAAAATTCCAATTTTTCTGTTTCCGATCAGTAGTGGTAGATGGGCTGTTAATATGAAAGCCATTGCGGAGGATCATCTCCGTGCAACTGTTGGCATGATGACCTTATGTCGTTTTTTGCCTGCTCCAACAGCGCTCATTCGATTCGCTTGGTCCGAATAAATGAATAGAAGTGCTTTAGGTGGGGGGGAGGTTGTGGTTGGGATCGCCTGGGACCGTTTTTGAACCGTGTACTGCAGACCGATGTGAATGTTGCGTAGAACATACGCGCTCACGAAGGGACCATTTTATCTTGGCGGAAGTTTGATCGATATTGAAAGAGGGACAGGAGGTGGAAAGTTTTGCATACCGCTTGGAGTGCATCCTTCGGACCCCATTAATTCCTGAAGCGTACAGTCTGCCGCCTATTTTCTCTGTAGATGATACCTGTAAACCTCAGCGCGTACCACGCTTTTCGCATCCCATTAGGTGCGTGCAGGTCTCCGGCAGCACCCATTATTTCCGACTCACCATATTTTCTGTAAACATTTCAACGTCTTGACACAACCACTGTCCTTTATCTCTATGCGCTCTCTCCTTTGCCATATCGCCACCATGGCAAAGTTGAAGCCGTCACGTAACCCTGAGGCGAGCTTGCAATGCTTAAAAGCGGATTGGCAATTTCCGTTTTCTTCAACTACGAGTACACTGTTCAGTTCCGCATTCTTCGCTTTTTCATATCTAAGAAGGCTATTTTTTTCCTTTGTTTTGGTTTTTTCAAGTGATTAGCTGATTCTCATCTATCTATATGGCTGAGGGCTGTTTAGGTCGTTTTCGTTCAGTTTTCTTCTCTGGAAATTTGCAACAGTCATTCAGTGAGCTTTCATGTGCGTACATTCACCCAATTTCGAAAATGCTTCCACACTACCCTTACCTCAACACATTTGTCAAACCTTAACTTATTTGGCTTAAAATGTTGAATTTCAAGTAAGGAAGGCAATGTATTCGGAATCGGTACTCTTTTAGGTGAGCGCCGCAAGTTTCACTTGCGTTCGGAATCATGTACACACGCAAACCGCTCGTCAGTTTGGTTCGACAAGTCACCAAAAATAGCCCATGTTGGGGGTTCAGATATATTTGGCGTTAACTGACCGAATCCCCAGAGAACTGAGTGCTTGGCGTGCCTGGACCAGATATGTTCTTTAGTGGTGCAGGTGCAAAGTAACAATTCCAGTCACTGGCGTTTGCTGCTCGCAAAAATAGTTCTCGTACTTTTTGCAGCAGGGTTATCATTGGACTTCTTTGTTTGTTTCAGATAGTGAACAGACTCACGGGATGATTAAGTAAGTAGGAGAGTTTTTGCTTGAGAAAGTAGCGTCGGGTTATTGACCGTCAAATGACCTTAGAAATCTGGTTTTGGTGAAGATGCAGCACGAGGCAGTCATGTGGGCATTTGAAAAAGGAGACTGATAATGTTTCAGTGTAGTAACACGTGCTTACAGTGTAAAATCGAAGTTATCATAAAACCAGAATATATGGAACAATGCCTGTCTTATCAGGTTGGGCCTTCAGTGTGGACTATATGGTTGCCCCAAAGGCATAAGGCACGATAATTTGGTACTCGGCCTGAAATGGTAGCAGGAGTGCTATATAGTGGCAGAATGGCGAAAAGCAAATAAAGCTGTCGAAAACTGCAAACAAAGCCTCTACTCAACACGACTCAGAAGGCAGTCCTGGACGAGTTTCCCGTTGGCATCGTGCCAATAACCGCTACGGTAGATAGGGCTGCATATTCATAGAGCATCGCAGCCACTCCATATAAACCCCTTCACTTCATACTGTACTTTGCATGAAGCGGGACAGGCATCAGCATCGGTTGCATATTTGTGGGCGTCCGGGTCGGTGTGTTGCAACTTGATAGGGAGCCTACATGTCTTGGGGATTTATCGTGCCACTTGCCTTCAAGAATTCAGTGTACGATTGCAAGGGTCTGTAATGGCGTTCAAATTTAGTGGTGCGCTTTTGAAAAAAAAATCAAGAAATTATTTAAATGAAAAATTGAAATTATGAAAAACCCCGAGGTCAGCAAATCGAAAATGAATTGGAGGGAGGATCGCGTCAATGTGACGCGAGAGCCGGCATTTTATACGAGCTGCCTTTCAGTAGCGATCTGAATAAGGATTACTCCGAAACGGTCTTCATGGGTGATCTCACAGTTTGAGGGTAAGACCGTTTCGGAGGTAAGACCTCAAAGATCGGACTGAATTGCGGTGAATGGCCCTTCTTACACTTTGGTAGAAACATCGCTCCTCTCAGGTTGTGAGGAAGGCGATCCCGCTGAAACCTCATATGAAGCATTTCAGGAAGGAAAATAAATTACTGGTTTTAGTTTGCATTCTGGTTTTGTTAATTTTTCGCCGCACCTTATCTCAACCTTGCATTAGTGTGGGCGAAGCGGGGCACTCGAATCAGTTCTACTGTTTCGTTGACATCAACCCTTTCTGCTTTTTATAGTCTAATCAGCTGTAACTGTGAAGCTTCCTATCGAGAAAAGCGATTGTCTAGAGTGAAGGGCACACTACACGAATAGATGAGCGGAGCTATTCTGTGCGCATATGAGATAACTCGTCCCACAATAGTAGGAAATGGATAAATCAGCGTTTGGTCATGGCGTGGCGTCGACGGAAGCTTTCCTCAG